CCCCTCCACCATATTCCACCTCGGTCATATCGTCGCGGAGTTTAGGCGAAGCCCTGCGCCGGTAGAACATCATCATCGTCACCACGCCGTCGTGCTGACGGAATTCATCCCCAACGCTTTGCTGGATCGGAGCTCGGGGATCGTCATCGAGCTGAACGTGTGTTGAACTCGGAGGTGCCGTACGTTCGGTGCTTGGATCGGTCGGATCGTGAAGACGTACGACTACATCAACCGCGTTGTCATAACGCTTCTGCTTACGGTCTATGAGGGTACGTGGACAAACACTCTCCCCTCTCGTTGCTATGTCATCACCATGATCTTGCATGTGCGTAGGAATTTTTTTGAAATTACTACGTTCCCCAACAGACACCACATCGCAGGAAAGAGGAGAAGAAAGCCATGCCAAGGGGAGGCCTCATGCCCACCACTCACCGTGATAGTGTGATTTCAATCCATGGAAAAAAGGTACGTCTCAATCATCAAGAAACAGATGACCTATGCGATTTTATCATGATAATGGGTAAAGATTTATAAATGATTGAATATGACATCTCCATTCTTCTAATAGGGTTATCGATTAAATATTGTTAAGGATGTATATTGTCAGAGATTTGACCTTTATGAGTTCAGCGTGATAATCGGTAAGATTTTATTGAGTTGGTCTAGTGCCTTTGTAAATTCACACCAATTTTTGAATTAATAATTTCTTTTTTAAATCTTATCACATTTATGTCATCTAAGTATGCATTCAGTAATATTACAAAAATAAATTAAGTTCGTATGCACAACATATTTTATGTGAGTGTTATATATATATATATATATATACATCGATTATTGTTTTAGTATTTATATTAAGGGCCCCCGGCTATAGTTTCGCCCCGGGCCCCCGGAATCTCAGGACCGGCCCTGCTCCAGGAGTGGGAAATCGAAGCCATCGTCATCACAAACAACCCTCTCATCATGGAGGGCCAATCTTCATCAACATCTTCAATAGCACCATCTCATCTCAAAACCCTAGTTCATCTCTTGTGTTCAATCTTTGTATCTAAGCCTCAGATTGGTACCTGTGGGTGACTAGTAGTGTCGATTACATCTCATAGTTGATGCTAGATGGTTTATTTGGTGGAAGATTATATATTCAGATCTATTATGCAATTAATACCCCTATGATCTTGAGCATGAATATTTTTTGTGAGTAGTTACTTTTGTTCTTGAGGACATGGGAGAAGTCTTGTCATAAGTAATCTTGTGAATTTTGTATTCGTTCGATATTTTGATAGTATATATGTTGTGATTCCCTTAGTGGTGTTATGTGAACGTCGACTACATGACACTTCCCCATCTTTGGGCCTAAGGCAATGCATTGTAGAGTAGTTACTAGATGATGGGTTGCTAGAGTGACATAAGCTTAAACCCTAGTTTATGAGTTATTCCGTAAGGGGCTGATTTGGATCCATAAGTTTAATGCTATGGTTAGATTTTCTTTTAATTCTTTTTTCGTAGTTGCGGATGCTTGCGAGAGGGGTTAATCATAAGTGGGAGGCTTGTTCAAGTAAGAATAGCACCCAAGCACCGGTCCATCCACATATCATATTATCAAAGTAGCGAACGTGAATCAAACAAACATGATGAAAGTGACTACATGAAATTCCCGTGTGTCCTCAAGAACGCTTTGCTTATTATAAGAGACCATTCCGGCTCGTCCTTTGCTACAAAAATGATTGGCCTACCTTGCTGCACTTTTGTTATTGTTACTATTACTTGCTCGTTACAAATTATCTTTCTATCAAACTATCTATTATCAACAATTTCAGTGCTTGCAGAAAATACCTCGCTGAAAATCGCTTGTCATTTTTTCTGCTCCTTGTTGCGTTCGACACTCTTACTTATCGAAAAGACTACGATTGACCCTCTATACTTGTGGATCATCACACCTCGGACACGACATCGAACTACAGATCTGGCACCCCCACATGACTAAGACGTTGGACGAGGAAACCATACATGCCATCCATGAACCACAAACCCAACACACGATCCACCATGTTCAAGATGCCGCCGATGCAGACCACAATCTGCATCCGCTTCTGGACTACCTCCCAAACTCCGCACCGATGCTAGAGCAGACGCCGTCACAACGATGGAGCCCGAGGACACAGGTCCACCACAAGGATGCCGCCGCCACCGCATCATCCTTGCCTGAACAAACTGATTTCCAAATCCATCCCCAACCATAGGACCGATCACCTCGTCGGGATAGGATTTGAAGAAACTTTATTCAGCACCGTCATCGCCGCCACTAAAGCCAAGATGACGAACAACCCAAAACCTATATAAGCTACTAAAGGCTAAAACGTCCACGCGCGTGAATCCAGTGACCCTCCTCACCACCGACGATCGATGTCGTCAAAGAAGGGGAGCCGTCGGGGGATGGCGGCGGAAGGGAGTGCTCCTAGCGGCGGCGGGGAGATCTATATGCTATGTCTGCTCTTTTTTAAGACAAGTAATTTGGGACGATGGTAATAGACATTTTGACAAGATATTTTTTGGCAATTCTACGAAGAGAGGGTATTTGCGCGCTTAAAAAAACTACTTGCACGCTTTTTTATTTGCACCTTGACCGCTCAAAGCTGTACATATAAGACCAGCCGGCGGCGGCCCCAACACAGACATCTCGGTTCACCCAAACCAAACAGGAGCCCACGATGGCCCCCGCATCCCCGGACGTCCCCGCTTGCGCCGGCCTCCCCGCCGGGATTTCCTATTTAGCGCTGCAGGCGCCGGTTTTAGTTCATCCCGCAAACCGGCGCCTGCAGCGGTTCTATCGCGGGCCGGCCCGTTTAGAATGTGCTTCGCCCCCGTCCGTCACGTGGTCGTCTAGGTCTCTCCCCTTTCGCCCGACGACTGATTTCCTCCTCTGCTTCTCCCCCGCTTCCTCTGTTTCCTCCTCTGCTTCTCCCCCGACGGCTTCTCTTCTTCCCCCAAGACTGATTTTGAATCTCAGGCGAATCTCAGGCGAATCAGGCGGATCGACGAACCGTAATCTGACTGCTTCTTTCTATGTTCGTCTTCGTTCGTCTTGTGATGGATTCCTCTGGTTCGTTCTTCTTCTAACCCTAATTCCCCTCAGTTCTTCGGTTAGGGTTTGTGTTTTTCATGGCGCTCGTTGTTTGTGTTGCTGTTTGTTTAAGCATGGATCTAACCTTGTGTTGGTACCTAGGGTTTGGGGTAGAAAATTTCGCTTGTGTATAAATGTATCCTGTTTTAGATCTTTTGTTTTTGCTTGTGTATAAATGTATCCTGTTCATGCGTGTAAATCCATCTCATGTGAAGGATGGCATCTCCCGTGTGTTGGTGCGTGTCCATCTGCAATCTGCGTAACAATATCTAGGAGTTTTGTGATTCTTAGGAAGATTTTGGCTCTGAGTATCAATCTTGTGGGATTGGAGAGTGATTCTACTTGTATTGGAATATAAATCAATAGTAGTTTGTGGAGTGTATTTGGAATAATTTCGAGCACGTGTTTGCACGGATGGAGTGAATTTGACTAAATTTGTCCAGTAATATTTTCATTTGTTCCCCATTCTATCATAAGTTAGTTTATTCACATAGTCCATACCATGATGTATTTATCTATGTCTTCATCCAATTGGTAATAAGCTATGCCTAATTTAACTGGATTTTGTTTAGTCAAGTTATGATGTTTGATTGTTCCAGAAAGGGTTCTTGTATAATAATATAATGTTTTTTATAGTACTAAAGTTTTCAAGTTCCGAGGGGATTTTGTATAAAAGGATTTTATAATACCAGATTTGACTAAAGGATTTTTTACCCATTTAAAGAAAACTTTCTGTCCAATAATACCCCTGTCAGTGTGATACATGTGAGATTGGAAGTCACTTGAATCTAGTTTGACAGTGTCTGTTTTGATATACAATAAATGGATTTGGAATACAGTGGTCTTCACAGATTTGCGAAGATCGTTAAGTAGTTGTTTCTTCTTAGTATTTCTATACTTTCTTTGTCTAATCTGTTTAGTATATTATGGTTTTCTTTATTATCTGCAATTATTATAGATTCATAAGTAGTGTTCATTGTTAATAGTTGTTGTTAAATCTGTATTTTTCAGGACAAGAAGGAGGTGGGGTTGCCCAAGTTGTTGATCCAGAAGGGGAGGAACGAACTGAATATCCCCCTCAAGGTCTCCGCAATGACTTTAATTTTTTTGTTTTTGAACTAGAACTTGAATTTGTAGAATATTTTAGTTTTTCTGAGCTTTCTTGTGCAATCCCTTTAGTTTGTTATGCTTTTCTATATTATCTGAAATATTATAGATTCATAAGTAGTGCTCATTTGTTGATAGTTGTTTTTCTATCTGTATTTTGCAGCCCAAGAAGGAGGCGGGGTTGCCCAAGTTGATGAACCAGAAGGTGAGGAATCAACTGAATATCCGCCACGAGGTCTCTGCAATGACTCAGGTGGTATGTTAGTTTTTCTCCAGTCAGTTTTGTAGTTTTCAAATTTGGTATAGTTTGCAAGTACATTATATTGTTGGAAAAACAATATGTGTGTCATGTTTTTGGTGTTACCAGATGTTTATCTATTTGTTTGTAACTTTGTCCTGTGAATGCTTAGTCTATGTTTTTTATTTATTTATGTGTAGATCATTTTTCCTTCTTTGATAGTTACATGTTTTCTTCTGATATTTTTCTTGAAATCACTGTTCATATATAGTTCAATGTATCTTCTTGTTTTGGTGGTTCTGTAGTGTTTTTTGTTACATTCTTCCAGATTATGCTTATTTCAAATTCCATATTTTTTTAATCTCTAGTATTTTGCACCGTCTTATCAGTTGTTGTTATTTTCTTTTCGTAGCTCGGGTATTCCCTCGCAAGTTATGCAAGTCTACTTACATTACCAGACCGTTTTTCAAGCGTTGGGAAAAAACTGTGAAGCAGTTTAGTGACATTCAGTTAGGCCACGTGAGAAAGTACAAAATGGAAGCTCTGCTTCATATGCCAAAGAAACTTAAAATCCCCATGAATCTGCTTGAATGGATAGATCAGCACATCTTTGGAACTAAAGAGCCCTATTTCAAGCATAAGAATAAAGTTATCAAGATTACTAAAGATATGGTCGACAAAATTTTCGATTTCCCTGGTGGCACCAAGCCTTTTGTATTCAGTAGCGACGATCCCCAAGTGAAAGCAGAGGTTACACAGTTGAGGAACAAGTATATTGATCATCGGAACAAAATGCCAATTAATAAAATAGAGGAGGTGATGCTTAGTGACGAGACAGAAGATGGTTTTATTAGGAGCTTCACATTTTATTTCCTATCATCTATTTTGTGCCCTGCGTCATACTATTTTGGAAACACCAAGTTCTTGTACTCTCTGAGAGATGTTTCTGCTATTCCTTCACTCGACTTTGCACAATTGGCACTGGATTTCATGCGTGAGGAGTCACAGCGTCACTTAGAAATGATCATGAACAGACCAACTGTTGAGGAAATGAACAAGTCTTCATATATTGGGGGATGTCTTCCTATTTGGGGAGTAAGTTCAATCATCAGTTGCCCTATTTTCTTTCTATTCCCTTTATATTTTTACTGACATTATTATTTTTAAAATGGCAGATCATTTATCTGGATTTTGTTGATTTCAATATTATTGATAATCATCAGTCTACTGTGGATTATTCTCTTCCATGGATATGTCATGTTAAGACTGAAGATTTCAAGTATCTTGCATTGGTTGATAGGAATTATGAGTCTAGGAATTTTTTTTGTGTTTTACCAGTAAGTATCGTATACTGTATATACCTTCTTGACTTATCTTCTTTATCCTGGTATTTATTTTCATCATTTGCTCAACTGCAATTTGTAGCTGCGAGACATATCACAGACCCCATATTACAATGTCGGGCCTATTAACAATGCTCCCAACGCTGCTGCTGTGATTAACTCAATTCCTTATCTGGAGGTAATTTTTATGAGTAGATTATATCATTTTCAATTTGGTTTATTCTTCCTTGTATTTTTTTATCTTTATATAGCTATTTTTTTGTCATGTAATTTGTAGGTCAACAATGCAAATAGTGTTCCTAAAGCTCTACATGAGAACACATCAAATGATTCAAAAAGTCCTCATACCATTTCAGAAATTCCTAGTTCCACCGCAAAAGTTGAAGCAGATTTAAAACAGAAACCAGAGCCATATTTGAAAACAGAGGTATTTTTTTGTGTTGTGTCTTTTTTTAGTTCACATCTAAGTGTTCTCTTGATAGTAGTGTCCTGTTTACTATCAATTTTCTGTAATCCAGGTTCCCTCTAGTGATGTCCTTAAGCCGGAGCCAATCGGACCAAAATTTGAGGTATTTTGTTTTGTATTCAAGACAGCTGGACTATATATGATAGATTAAGTGGATAAATAGTGTATTTATTGACTGTTAAGGATTTACTGCAGATTTGTTGGTAATTTGATAATATCATTCACTTTTTTCTACTACTGATCATGATGAATAGTGGTTACAATAGTGAATTTTTTTGCTATCAAACTTACAAAGAAGCTTTATTTTTTGAGATGAATCTTGCATGTAGCTTTTTTGTTCTCTTTGGGTATTTTATTGATATTCTTAATTATGTGTGTTTCATTATGTCTAGAACATTTCTGTCCTGAATTCGGTGTACAAAACACCAATATTCCCAGCTCATACTTCAAATGTGAACACCAACTCTGTCCACCAAGAAACTACTTCACAACCTAAGGTCTGCTTCAAGTCATTCAAATTTCTTTTCATAATAATAATTTCTATTGAACTTACAACAACATTTGATTTTTCTTTCTCATCAGGAAGTAGTTTTTCTATCAGCTGAACCAGATGATATCAAATTTTCAACTGAAGTTAATGCAAAAAGAAGTTTTATACTCATCAGTTATGCCTCTGGAAATGAAAGAGTCAAGCATTTTCAAGGAACTCCAATTCTTATTAATGATGATTCTCCTACCACTCCTGCTACCGCGACTAACAAAGAGATACCAGCCTCTCAGTGTGATACAAGTGAAGGAATTCCAATGAACATGGACTTTTCTGTCCAACTAGGTTATAATTCCAACAATATTTTTTAAATTTTCCATGGGTTTCATTTTTTTGTAATATGATTCTGAGCAACATTCCACTATTTATGTTGAAACTTTTTTTGAATTTGTGTGTTTTGCAGGCTATTCTTCATTCAATAATTCAGAAGCTGGAGCAAGTACAGGACCTAATACAATTGAAAAGAAGAACAAGAAGAAAAGAGCAGCTAAAGTTCAATCTCCTGATGCACCAAAGAAACTGAAAATATCTCAAGAAGTGGACATTTTCTTCTCCAAATATTTGAGGAAGCCTATCTTTCAAGAATAGTTAATTCTCTTAGTCCTTTAGTTGTTTTATTATTTGTTCTTTAATTAATTTATGAGAACTTTTTTAGTTTAGACATCTACCTAGGAAAATAATTATGAAATACCAGCATTTTTCTGGTTCAACCAAAAAGAATGTTTTAAATTTTTCTGTATTGGCCATTGTAGTGTTGCATATGTTTTTTATTAATTGTTAATCTGTATTTCTTTGATCAATTTTCTCCAATTAATAGTAGTTCTCCTTCTTTATTCTGTGCAGCACTCTTTTTGTTGATATTGAGGGTTTCCCTGTAAGCTATGACAATTACTTTAATTCATTTAAAGCGAGGGGTGAAATTGGAGATGAAGTGATGAATTCTTTTATTCAAGTTCTTAACTATGAATCAAAGATGTCATCTGAAGTAAAGCCTTATCTCAAGAAATACTGTTTCACTTCATACTTTACTGTGAGTTTTTGTTTTAAACTTCCTATTTGCTTAGATTTTTTACTATTTTTTACTTTTTTTTCTTTCATTGAAACTGAGATTTTTATTAATTTTGTCATTTCTATTCACAGAATAAATTGTTGGTTCCTCCTGAGTCATTTGATCCTATTAGTTGCATACGAGAATTTGACAGGATTAATTAAGAAGAAAGCATCTGGAAACAAGACTTGGTAAGAAAATTATCAACTTATTCAGAAGATCTATTCTTTTTTCAATACTCATCATGCTTTTCCTCTTGCTGAACAGTTATACTTCCCTAGCATAAAATCAAATCACTGGGTTCTACTTTCCATCAACTCTCTGTTTGATAAATCTCACTTTTTTGATCCATGTGGTACTATTCTGGATACTACCCAACAAGAACTTGTCTATAACTTGGTAAGTAATTATCAAGACATAAAACGCTTTGATTTCAACGGAAACAAATTTTTTTCCTGCTGTACCACATCTGAAGTAAAGTGTCTGACTGAGTTTATACCTATAATAAATAGCTCTCCAACTACAACATGCTTTGCAAGCTGAGTAAAAAGCCATTCAAGAACATATTCTCTTTCAAGCTTCAACCAGTAGGACCTTACCCAACAAACTGTCTCTTGTAAGTTCATTTTTCTTCTTTCTGTTTGCATATTTATTTGATTTTTTCAACTGCAAGTTTATTTAACTTATTTCTCCATACTTTCCCTACTGTTTATTACAACCAATGTACTGTTTTTCTGCCTACTTGTACTCGAAATGTTGATGTGATTTGTTTACCATAGATTTTATTTTTGAAACACTATCTTTCTGCTAATCATACTGTATGTTCATCTCAAGCATATATTTTAGGCAAATTTATAGTTATAAAGTTAAGCATATTGTATGTTCACCTCAAGCTAACAGTAGTTGAACATTGGATATCAAAGCATACTCTATGCCCATTGTTGTTTCAATGTGTGGTTGTTCTCTCTAATTCTAATTCCATCACTAACCTTTAGTTAACAACAACCACTGTCAAAAATAATTTTGGCAATATAGTAATGTTCTTCTACTTTTACTACTCCTGTCAATGTTGCCATTGGTGGGCATAACTTTCAGTCAACAACAACTACTCCTAACTCATTTTTTGACAGTATGAATAAGAATGAAAATTCAATGAGTTATTTAGACTAGAAAAGTATAATTTTGCTGCGTCATGTTTCTTTAAGGAATGACCATGGAACAGAAGAACCGACAGAGGGAGTTATTTAGTTTTTATTTTGCCCAATAAAAGAAAAAGTATTTTTCAAACTCCCTCTGTCAGTTATCCCAAACTACTCCAAGACTGGCACATCAAGCTTTTTTCTTGCGAGGCTTTATATTCCAAGGCTGAATTGCACATCCATCGGTTGACACCGGAAGAAAGAAAAACTAATAGTAGTAGCAACACCACCTGAAATTGCAAGCAAACCAGATTCAGATTTCTACTCGGTGTGACATCCCAAAGTAGGTCGAACCCAAATTTCCTTCACACCTAGCACATTTCATCAATGTTGACAATAACACACCAATACTCATTCTCATTTTTTCCTGTGTTTTTCTATTCTTTATGTAGGCATGACTCAGGCCACTATCTGCCTTTATACATGGAAAATTTTGAAGGCAAAGCTATGAAGAGTTTCATTGAGGTATAACTTGAAAACTATTTTCCTTATTTTTTTTCTATTCTAGGAATGGCTTTTTCTTTTGATTCTGTTTGAATGTGCCACAGTTCCTGGGGTACTTTGCTATGTTCCAAGACTAAATACTAGGCCTAATCATATGGTCTTTTTTAAAAAAACTAGCACTTGTCTATGCACATTCCATCCTGCTATATTTTTTTCTGAACTGTGACTATGTTTATATCTATCCTTCTTTGTCTATGTTGTATTCTTTTTTCTACTGTTTACTATGTCTGCACCTCCTATAACCAGATAGTAATTTTCTTTATGAACTACTTTTAGATGTTTTCTCAAGTTTTAGTCTTTCTATTTCTCATAATGTGCCTATATTGTGTTTATAAACAGGGCAACATTCCGAAGTACAGAATGATTTATGCATTCAAGTTCTTCAAAAGCACTTTGAACAAGCTGAAAGAAGGAGATCTGCCAACACCAAATTGACTTTTGCGCAAGATGCATACGCAAACAGTTTTCAATGTGTAGCTGATTGGAACAAAATATCTACTTTCATGTCTTCAAACAATTACATCTATAATCATATGGTAGTAGATTCATGGTGCTAGATGTTTAAACTTTTGCTACACCGACCTACATAGCGTATGTTGTAAATCTTCTTTTTCTGGATATGGTACTCTTCACGAACTGCATAGTTTTTGTGTTGCAATCACTGCCCATAGTAAGTGTATCTTTTTGTGTTGCTAAACACAAAACTTATATTCGTGCACTACATACTATCTATGTTGGCATCACATGCATACAACTGAATCCTTGTTTGGTCATTGCAAATATAAAAAGTTGACAATGTCTAATTTTAGCTGGGTTTTAGCTTTTTCCAGGTTATACTATCTATGTTGCCATCACATGCATACAATGTTAATACTTAGGTATTGATCGTCCTTTGGTTCTAACCATTGATTGGTCATTCATTTACACAATGCCTTACGCATGTAATGAATACGCAACATGATTGCTGAAAACGCATTTTTGTGCTTTCTATAATCATGTGATTAGAATTCCAAGCGAGTCCTCGTCATTTATACTTTTTGTGATGGTTCATGTCTTCTTCATCTATAAACGTACACAAAAAAAACTAATTCTCTTGAATTCAAAATCAGTTTGTCAACATTGAAAATCAGTTCGTCAACATTGAAAATTTCACAAAAATTTAGTGAACTAATTTTGAAGCCAAATTTCTATACAAAAGTAGTTCACGAACCAGGTATGAAAACAAATTAAGTTCACCAAATTTGTACTTCACTATTTTGAAAGTTCAGTTCATCAATTTTTAATTTGCATTTACTACATCAAATTTTAGTACACAATATTCAAATCAAGTTCAGTTGTATAAAAAAATTAAACAAAAACTAATTAAGTTTATCATTTTTTAGTTCACAGAAAAGAAACTACTTGTACTCGAATTCAAAATTAGTTCACCAACATTGAACTTTTAGTTCACTTAATTTACATTAAATCTAGTTCACCAACATATCGGACTTTAATTCAAATCTAGTTCAAAAAAAATAAGTTCACACTCAAAACTAGTTCCCCAACATTGAAATTTTAGTTCACAATATTCAAATCCAGTTCATCACTTTCTTATTTTAGTTCACTTGAATTCAAATTTACTGAGCTCGAATTTTAGGTCACAACATTCAAATCCAGTTCATCACTTTCTAATTTCAGTTCACTTGTATTCAAAATTGATTTCACTTGAATTCAAATTTCAGTTCACTTGTATCCAAAGTATAGTTCATCCCTTTTTTAATTTCACTTTGATTCAAAATCTAGTTCACTTGTATTCAAAGTATAGTTCACAAAAATTCAAAATGAACTCATCACTTTTAGTTCACTAGATTCGAACCAAAATTAATCAAATCCTAAGGAAAAACAAATTAAGTTCACCAAATTTGTACTTCACCATTTTGAAAATTCAGCTCATCAATTTTTAATTTGCATTTACTACATCAAAATTTAGTTCACAATATTCAAATCCAGTTCAATTGTATAAAAAAATTAAACAAAAAACTAATTAAGTTTATCATTTTTTTAGTTCACAAAAAAGACACTACTTGTACTCGAATTCAAAATCAGTTCACCAACATTGAACTTTTAGTTCGCTTAATTTACATTTAAATCTAGTTCACCAACATATCGAATTTTAATTCAATTCTAGTTCAAAAAAAAGTTCACACTCAAAACTAGTTCACCAACATTGAAATTTTAGTTCACAATATTCAAATCCAGTTCATCACTGTGTTATTTTAGTTCACTTGTATTCAAAATTTACTGAGCTTGAATTCAAATTTTAGTTCACGATATTAAAGTTTAGTTCATCAATTTTAGTTCATTAAATTCAATCTCAGTTCATGAAATCTCAAACATAGATCAAGAAAAAAAAATAAGTTCATTAGCTTTGTAGTTCAAATAAAAAAAGCAGTTCAATTTCAATTCAAAATTAGTTCACCAATAGATATCACAAATTTTAGTTCACCAATTTTAGTTCACAGCTTTAGTTCAAGAATTTGATGAAGTGTGTTTAAAGTCACTTCATCAAATTTTTGTATTCAAAAGTAGTTCATGATTAGTTCAAATTCAAAATTGCTTCACTACATTGAATTTTTTTCCACACTATTTCAAATATAGTTCACCATTTTTACTTCCAGTTCACTTAATTTAAAATTAGTTCACCAACATTGAACTTTTAGTTCACTTAATTTACATTTACTATATCGGATGTTAATTCAAATATAGTTCACAAAAAAAATAAGTTCACACTCAAAAAAAGTTCACCAACATTGAAATTTTAGTTCACAATAATAAAATCCAGTTCATCACTTTCTTATTTTAGTTCACTTGCATTCAAAATTTACTGAGCTTGAGTTCACGATATTAAAGTTTAGTTCATCAATTTTAGTTCATTAAATTCATTCTTAGTTCATGAAATATCAAACATAGATCAAGAAAAATAAATTAAGTTCATTAGATTTGTAGTTCAAATATAAAAAGCAGTTCACTTTGAATTCAAAATTAGTTCACCAATAGATATCACAAATTTAGTTCACACCTTTTAGTCCAAAATTTTTACTGAACTAAATTTAAAGTCACTTCTTCAATTTTTTTGTGTTCAAAAGTAGTTCATGATTAGTTCAAATTGAAAATTGCTTCACCACATTGAATTTTTTTCCACACTATTGTTCACTAAAATCAATATCAGTTCATCAAATCTCAAACTAAGATCAAGAAAAAATAATTAAGTTCATTATATTTGTAGTACAAAAAAAACTAGGTCACTTGAATTCAAAATTAGTTCATCGACATCGAAATTTTGTTCACAAAATTTAGTGAACTAAATTTTGAAGTCCTTTCATTAAATTTCTATTCGAAAGTAGTTTCACAAAATTTGTAGTTCACAATTTTAAAGTTCAATTCATCATTTTTAAATATGCATTTACTACATCGGATTTTTA